CTGGAACTGCGTGGGGCACAGCCTGTGCAGTCCACTGGTGCTCTCGCTAAGGAATGCCCTCCTTCATTTTGTATCCCATGAAGGCCAACTATGCACAGCAAGAGCAGGGCCAGGGTGCTGAGGGAGGAACCAGGAGACAGCCTACTGGTCTAAGGGGGTGGAGTCTTAACAGAAAGCAGAGTCCACATCCACTGGGGCACCACGAGAGCCAAAGAGGAGCTGCCTAACTGGGCCTGTGAGGTCAGGGTAATGCCACATGGCCTGTGGTCCGCGGGCTCCCTGTGGATGAGTTAATTAGACGTCAGACAGCTCAATCTGCAGCCTTGGCATCTGATGTTGGTGGTTCTTGCTTTCCCAGGAGAACTGCCACTGCCAAGCCCGGGCTGGGTGGGTCCTGTGGACTCTGGCTATACCCCAACCTCTGACATTGTGGAAGGTTTGGTGAGGTAGGGTTTGCAAAGTGGAGAATCAGCTAGGTCCTGTTCTGGAGCGGAGGCAAGTGTGGAAATGGGGAGAGAGGCTGAATCAGCCAAGACACACGGGGCAGAGCTAGCGGTTTTACTTAGGAGGCTCAGCCTGTTCCTGTGGCACTTGGAGACACTTCCCCTGGCTGGCTTATGGACTGCCTTTGCCTTTGCCTTTGCCTAGAGTTTCTGTCACTTCCTTAGCCCCTCGGCCACCTCTTCCGCTGAACTCCGGGGCACTCCAGCTTTTCAGCTTGTGGAGAATCATTCCCGTGATTCCCAATATCCTCCCACAGGCTGGTCAACGCACACCTCCCAGAGCTAAAAAAAAAAGGCCAGTCTGAGCAGCCTAAGCAGTGCCTGCTTTCCCCCTCAAGTTCCTAGGTCAGAGGGATCAGATTCTGAAAGTCACTCTGTGCCCCTGGTTCGATTGCCTGCTACCAACCTGTCTGGGGGGCCAGCACCTCTTACTCATCCCTCTGTCTTTGGCACTGGGTCCTGGTGGCATGGCGGTTATGCTAACCAGAAAGAAGGTCGGGGTTTCGGAGGCAGTCAATCTTTACGAAAGCAGCTTGTTTCATCGTTCTCCCTCCAAGTGTCTGGTGGGGTTGAACCCCTGCCCTTGGAACCTCTGGCATTATTATTAAAATTAATAGCAATGCTTGAGGTGTCACCATCTGACTCGTGACGTCCTTGAGTGAGTCGCGAAACTCCACAGAATTTTCACTGGCTGATTCTTCAGTTAGGTTACCAGGCATTTCTTCTGAGGCACATCTGCGTGAACCCAAACTCCCCACCTCTTGGTAAGCAGCTGAGTGTGGTGATATTGTTGTATTAGCCAGGCATTTAGCTATCGATTACCTGAACACCACAGAAAGCTATATGTACAGATTAGCTTAAACACTGCAAGTAAGGAAAACAACAAAAATAGGTGTACGCAGATAACATGGAAAACCGAACACCAGATTGGAGCTGCATCCCGGTGCAGCCTGGAATGGGAGTACCAGTGACAGGTCTCGGGGGTGCAGATCAATGGCCCCAGGGATGGTAGGCCTTAGGGACAGGGAGCAGGGACAGGTCGTCTCCACGGGCAGGAGAAGAAGGGTGACCAGGGCAGGCCTGGCCCAGGGTGGCCATGGCAGAAGTATTGCTTCTTTGCCGTTTGCTTGGAGTCTGCCTGGTCCGAAGCCCAATCCCTGCCACTGCCCCCGAGGCTCATCACCAAGCTCCTGTTTCTTCTTGCTCAAGCCAGGACAGTTTGGGAAAGGCTTTTCCTCTCTCTGTTGAAATTCAAGGTCCAGTAGGAAGACTACCAGCTTCGCGATGCCCTTAGGATATTTCGTCTTCAGAATTAATGCCCACTCTTGAGGCGCCCTGGGCTCTCTGTAGCACAGGTAACAGTGCCGACGTTGCATAAACAGGCAGGTCCTTTCTGTTAGCAGTTCAAAGAGGAGAATGGTGGTGGGGGCACTGTCGTCATGTGCCCGATTGTGACTCACAGCCACCCTCTGAGACAGAGGGGATCTGCTGTTGGGTAACGTGACAGTTACGTAATCTACTGTCAACTTGAGCAAGGGATGGAGTTTAGCCTGTCAATCAGGCTAAATGACCTCATTTGGAGGCATGACAGATAAACAGCTCACTGAAGGCCAGATCCACTCTCTCTGCTACACATTCCTATTGACAAGTCACCTGGAGCTACGCTGATGGAGCCAGAACATGGAGACCCCTGGCAGTGCTGAGATGCTTCCACTGCCAGTGGATCCACAAGACTTTCCACGCACTGGCCTGTGATTTTCTTGCATTCTGCGTCATTGCATGTGTGAGTCTGAAGAGGAATTTATAGACTGGTAGCAGACATATGGGCTAATATTAGACTTTTGGACTGGATTTGGACTGAGCTGGGATTTTTTTTAATATACAATTACTCTTTATAGAGGCTCTTTCTTATATATATATATATGAGTGTTTATGGATTTGTTTCTCTAGTCAACCCAGACTAACACAGGTAAGCATTAGACTGCTAAGCACAAGATCGGCAGTTCAAACCAACCAGCCACTTCCCAGGAGAAAGAGGAGGCTATCTTCTCTTGTCAAGATGTATAGCCCTGGGAACCCTATATCGGGCTTTTACCAGTCGGAATGGACTTGCTGGCAGTGGGTTCGGGCTTGGAGTTGGAATCTTTACAAAGCACTATGGTTAATATTAAAATGAATACCCATTGAGATGACTGGTTCACATTTTCCCAGTCTCGGTTAAAATACAGAACAATAAATTCCATTCTATGGGATGGTAACAGACAATCTAAGTAAAAAACAGGGCATGTGCTATGCAAATAAAAGCTATTTTCAGCAAAGATCCCTAGTTCCCCCTTCTCACCAGGGACTGCCCTGGAACTCTTACCTACGGAAATTCTGGGCCCAGCACCCCAGAGAGTCACATGCCAGTACCTACTACGTTCCAATCTGGGCAGTCACGTCTCAGCAACACACAGGTTCCTGGCACGTGGCCCTCCTGCAATCAGGAGCCAAATGAGAAGTGAGGCCGGACTCCTCCTTCCCTGGGAAGTCACAGTGTAGATTTGGGAACCTGAGATTTGCTCAGCAGACAGCTCATTGGCCCTCCTGCAATCAGGAGCCAAATGAGAAGTGAGGCCGGACTCCTCCTTCCCTGGGAAGTCACAGTGTGGATTTGGGAACCTGAGATTTGCTCAGCAGACAGCTCATTGGATCAACAGACGGTGTAAGAGGCTGTGTGCAGGTCCCAGTGTGCCTAGTAACCACCCTCGCCCCACAGCCAGCAGGCTTCCGAGTAAGGGGTTGGTTAGGTCCCACGGGGATGTGGGCAACAGCTGGGCCGCCGTCTCCATGGGTCTGGTCTACCTTGTTCTCCTCCTCTCAGCTGACTCTGTGTGCTACTCTGTTGTTCCCCCACCCCTTCCAGCCTCTGTTCTCAGACTGTCTGCAAACTCGGGGCTGCCTCTAGCCTGGACCCCAAACCCTACCTGTCCCCTCCACTCTCCCCAGGTCACCCTCAGCCCCCAGATCCACTGCTCCTGCTTCCCACCCAGCTGACCTGAGGCGGCGGAGGACAAAGGTGTTCCAATCTCAAACCCGCCCAGCGTTTAAAAGCTGGCTTTTAAATCCACACACATCTGAATCGGTACATTTCCATTTTCTCTGCGGGCACGTTTCCTTTCTGATGGACTTTCGCAAACATTTTACTGTTATATTTCTTGTGCTACTGCCCGGAAGCATTATTTAGACATCATAAAAAAAATCATTATATTGTTCAAAGGAAGGCTGAGAAGTCCGTAAAGAAGAATACAAAAAGCTCAATCCACACACAGAAGGAACACACACACAGCCAGGCGTCCGCCACACTGGGCAAGTCGGCTCTTACGGCAAAGCGACACTTATCACCATCCCACTTTACAAAACAAAAGCAAATGAATAATGGATGTGTGCTGTACAAAAGTCTAGATTTTACAGTATGTCTAGGGAAAATCCAGTTCAATTATTTGCAGCAGCAGCAGTCCTATGATAAACGAATGCAGAAATGGTTACATATGTGAAATGTACCATTCCCAGCGGGCCTGTCGTCCACAGAAATGCATCGTGAACATTAATATTTTTTTAAACACACCGGAGACATGTTTGAAAACCCACATTGCTGTCATTACCCAAAGGCACTGTGTGCGAGCAATCCTTGAACCCTTGAGTTGAAAAAGCTCCTGGCTTTCTGGGGGTTATTTTAGCAAGCGTCTCAAGACACTGCGCTCCTTGAGGGCTGCCAGCTCCCAAACGGGAGTGGCTGCCCTGAGGCACAAGGAGTTCTACAGACTTCTCAGAGAAGCTGGGCACACTCTCCCTCTGGACAGGCCGGGGATATGCACTCCCGTGGCTTCTTGGCACTTACCAACAACAGGCGGCCGCGACATCTTCTCAGAGCAGTGGTCTGAGCACTCCCCAGCCTTGAGAACCAGGAACCCCCCACGCCCTAGGCTCTCTGACTTGTGGGCAGCCTGGACTTGGGCTGAGCCCCTGAAGGCAAGGGGCCTGCTGGGGGGTTGGCCAGCCCAAGACACTTCCCTCCCAGCTCCCACCCACAGGGCCTAGATGGAGCAGTGACTAATGCTTGGTTAGAGAGTGCACTACCAGAGGGGCTCTGGGCTGATACTTCCTGTTTGGGGAGGAAACCTCACTGGTAATAATTAGTGGTTCAGACCCAAGGCTCGTTGCTACAGGAACTGAGGCAAGGTGGCAGTAAGAAAGAATAAAATGGATAGAAGTCATCCAACACAGGGCAGGCTCCCTTGCTCTCTCTCTCTCTCTCTCTCTCTCTCTCTCTCTCTCTGTGTGTGTGTGTGTGTGGCTGCAGAAAGTGGCAGTTTGTCCATTGCGGTGCGGGTCACACTATCACTGGCTCAGTGACCATTCTCTCCGCATTTTGTGCTGGCAAAAGCACTCTTGTCATCTGTCCTTGCTAGTCAGTACCCACGGGGTAAAGAATGACAGAGAGACAGACAGACTCACGGCCCGAAGACAACACTTTACAAAGGCACAGCGTGGCTACCGGAGAAAGAGCTGGTCCACGCCGCCTGTCCGCCCGCCTCTTCAGTTGACTTCAGGAGCTCACACTGACAGCAGCCCAAAGGGAGGCTGGAGGCTTGGAAGTTTCTAGATCCTTGAAGTAAATTCTGCCCCTCCAAATCAGAATATCCAAGAAGAGTCTTAGCCAAGGTTAAAAACCCAGCTCACTGCTATCAAGTCCATTTTAATTCATAGCAACCCCATACCGGGTTTCTGGGGCTGTAAATCCTCATAAGAGTACCCAGTCTCATCTTTCTCCCATGGAGCGACTGGTGGGTTCGAACTGCTGACTTTTCAGTTAGCAGCCAGTCCAATGCCGATTCGACCAGGGCAGCCAAGATTAAAACGCAGCGCCCTCAAGTCAATTCTGTCTCATGGCGCCCCTACAGGGCAGGGTAGAACTGCCCCTAAGGGTTTCCGAGACGGTAACTGTTTAAAGGAGTGGAGCGCCCCGTCTTTCTCCTGCAGAGTGGCTGGTGGTTTGAAAGAGAGCAGCCCTTGTGCCCAGCAGCCCAGCACATAACCACGACACCACCGGGGCTCCGGCCAAGAGACTCAGGGAGGGCAAAAGAGCAGTGGCCTGTGTGTGTGCTCTGCACACAGGGGCACAGGAGGGTGGGGCTCTCCTATCGAGAAATGACAAGTCCTGGCTGCAGGGCTCAGCCCACTCTTGCGTCTTTCTGTCCAGTTCCCGGCACCGCCTTCTTTGTGGTCAGCGTGGAGCCACCTCCTGAAGCTGGTCACAAAGGGGCTGGGCCTCACCTCTCACAGCTAGCGGCTCAGGTGTCCCCGCCACTCTGTGGCCAGTGATCTCGACAACACTGACCCCGGAGCAGTTGGCAGGACTGGCTGGTCACTTGGAAAGCTTCAGTACAGGCCATCCTGTTAAGAAATGCTCCATCTGCCTGTGGTCAAGTGCCCATCTTGCTTGAAGGGGGCCACCTCACTGCCACCGGAAGCTCTCACCTGGGAGCATTCACTGTCAGGAGACACCTTCACCTTGACCCAAGGGGTGCTAATACCTTCCCAAGCCCACCAGTGACATCACAAACCAACTGCTCAGAACCTTGCGCCACCCCACGGGCACCAGAGGAGATGTGTACAGCAATCAGGAAGGGTCATGTCATCACGGACCTTAACCTGCAGCTTTGGGACACCTGTCAACTTGACAGATGGTTGATGACCTTGGTTGGGCTCCGGGCAGGTATACACAGTGGTTACCGTCCACCAGCTCAGCTCCTAACTGAGGTTGGAGTCTACCTGAAGCGCTTGGAAGAAAAGCCAAAAATCAGCCGCTGCAAATTTTCCAGGGCACAGTTCTATGACATACCAAGGGTGGCCAAGAGCTGAAATTGGCAGGATGGAAACTGGTGGGTGTTTTTACAAGACGCCCCCCGTAAGGCTTTGTCTCACTCACCAGCTCCCAACTCCCTTTACCCATTAGGTAATCTTGGGGCTGCTTTTTGATTTTAGGGTTTTGGGGGTTTTTTCCCCGCAGCTTAACCTCCCAATCTGATTAAAACGTAATATTTAGAGATCCCACCTGGCTCTCATTAAACAGAAGCAGCTTGGAGTAAGTTGCTGCCTGATGGCAAACAATTAGCGCTCACCTGTTCTGCCAAGATGACTGGGGTGATTTCTGTGATTTATGAGGGCCAGGTGATTGGGCTCAGCATCTCGCAATTCCTTGAAGGCATGGCTTACTTCACTGAACTTTACAGAGAGTTGGCCATCCTTACGAAGCGACATATTCTCCCCCTGGGTTGGAGTGACAGCGCTGGAGTTGGTGCAGCGGTCAGTGCCCTGGCCACCGGCAAGATGACCTCACCTCAAGGTGGAGGCATGACCTCTCCAAACTCTCATTTCCTCACTTGAGTTCAGAAAGACAGGAGGGTTTGGGTGTTTGTAAGGAGCCCAGATGGCCCCATGAGTAAGGCACTGGGCTGCCAACTGTAAGGTTGGTGGTTCAAGCCCATCAGCCACTCTGTGGGGAAAAATGAGGAAGATTTACATTCTCAGAAATCCTATTAGGGTCACTCTGAGTGGGGACTGACTCCATGGTAGTAGGGTTTGGGGGCTCTAAGTGTCTGTAGGGTGACAGGTGACAGCTGATACTCCTCAATGTCTGAAGTGAGCCAGGCCTCAGTGCCTGGCCCAAAGTTAGTGCTCAATAGATGTTTGCGGAATGAATAAGTGACAGGGCAGATTTTGGAGAGGCATAATGAGTGATCCAAAGGCTCAGATTTGGGGTGGAAAGAATGGGCAGAATTGCATGTCTCATGTCTTTAGCACAGCCACATTACTGGGAGAAGCGCTTTCCCTCCTTCCAGAAGCAGAATTCAAATGCACTCACACACAGGGCTCGCCCAGTGCCTGCTCTGCAGAAAACAGACTGTCCAGTGACCAGGAAGGCTGTCATTTCAGATGTAATGGAAGTAGTGCCTGGCAGTGAAAAACGTGAGGGGCTCCCAGGGGGCCTAGGAACAGTGGAAGGTTGGACAGGTGAGTGGACTCAGTTACAGATGGCCGATAGGAGCAACTGAGGCTTCTGCAGTTGAACATTTGCACAACCCGGAGTGCCCTGTCCCTACCCCTGGCCTTCCGTCTCTAAATGGCTTAATCTATAAGCCTGAATGGGAAAGCAAGTGTGGAAAAGCAGCACACACCCATCCAGCCCCTCGTAGGCTGGAAAGAGGCAACTCGGAGTGGGGCTTTAATAATTGCTTAAGTTGGCAAGCTTCCTCATTTTAAATAGAGGCCCATTACTGGTCCATAGGCCAAAAAGCAATCTCAAGGAGTGCTTGGCTCACTCAGCGTGGCCGACCAAAACAACCTGACCGCTGGGTATGGCGAGGAGGGTGAGGAGGGATGGATCTGCCCTCGGTGAAACAGCCAGGGCACCCAGAAATCCCTGTCCAGTCTGCTTCCTTCTCTGGCCCTAACCTCTTTGGAAACCAGTTTCCTCTGAAGGTCTCACATGCAGGTGGGGCTCAGGAGAGGGAAGGAGGCACCGCTTCTCCCGCTAACAACATGTGCCAGGTGGGGAGGCTTCAGCCAGGCCTCGCTCTAAGCCACGGAGAACGAGCGCTCAGACACCATCCTCTGGGCTTCCGTTGCCTTCTTTTGTGAACAGAGGGGAAGTGACAAGGAGAGCATGGAGCCTCTGAAGTCTCCAGGGACAGCAAGAGCTTCTCTTTCACGGCACTACGCATAACGCTCTTTGACTGCAGTCCTAACAGTGCTACCGGACTTCAGACACGTTAGCGGGATAGACCAGTCTCCGGAAAAGGACACCGTGTTGGTAAAGGAGAGGGGCAGTACAAGATGCGGAAGGCAAGATGGAGTAACACCGTGGCTGCAACAATGGGCTCAAACTTAAGTACAATTGTGAGGATGGTGTTTGGTTTCCTGGTACAGAGTCACAGTGAGTCAGAACTGACTCCATAGCATCTAACAACAACAACAACAACAACAAAGCTCAGCATGGTACACAATCATTCTCCAGGCAGACATGCTGTCCTTGTTGTATAGGGATATTGTACGCTCTTATCTAAATGCTACAGATGAAGAAAGAGAGGGTGCATGAGCTAATAACATCACCAAAGTCATGTAGTAAAAAACCAGTCTTCTCCCCCTCCAGCCAGAAGCCTTCCTGGAGGCCCCTTTGACCCCAAGTGCTCAGGGGTGCAGCTCTGGACTTCAGCCCCAAACTTTCACTTTTAACTGCATGAGGCCCTGCTCAGGAAGGAATGGGTCGCATGGGACGAGGACAGGGAGCATCTGCAGGAGAGGAATCCAACTGTTTGGGCATCCCTGGCATGGGGAGGGCACACCTGTGGCCTCAGCATGACCAGATAGGCCCTGGGGGACACAGCAGGCCTGGGCAGCTTGCACAGCCATCTGGCAAGCAGCCGGCTCCGAGGGCCCAGTTGCCTGCAATGCTGTCAGAGTTTTGACTGCCCCTTGTCAACTGCCACACCTTTCTCCCAGGGGCCTTGCTAAGGCCCCTGTCTATTATTCAAGGGTTCCTTCAAAAAGCCTTCCCTTCTGCGCCTCCTCCACTGTGGTACCCTCTGCCCCACTAAGTCCATTTACTCATTAGACATCTATGAACCGCCTTGTCAGTGCCAGCCGCCTGCAGGCCAGCGGGGGAGGGGAGAGGGGTAAAGGCACATCTTGGCCCTTCAGGTACTCATGGCTTGCGCGGGTGGTTCACCTTGCAAACTCGGGAGGCAGTAGGCAGTAGGCAGTAGGTGGGATCTGGGCACCGGTGGTTTTAAGGACCCTTGTAGGTGGCTGAGGGCCACTGGTGGGCAACCTGACCCTCAGCACCGCTGCCTTTGGGCTGCCAGCATCCTCTGAGGCCACCCTGGTTTCCCCACAGGGACCCCTCTGAGCTTCCCAGGCAGACACCTGGGAGCCAGTGTTCCTGCTGCTACTGCGACTGTGTTGCCTTCTGGTATCAGGCTCTCTGAGTTCACCCCACTCCCACCCCCTCTGCCACGATGACGGTGCCCTCCACCTTGAGGGCGGGGCCATTGCCAGGAAAGCTTTAGCAAGGGCCTGGCCCCTAAACATGCAGTACATGCTATGAGGGTCCCTGCACTCTGACTCACAGAAAGACGGCGCATCCTTTCTCCAACCTGTCTCAGGGGCAGCCTCGGGCACCCTGGCAGCCTCTCTCTTCCATCCGCCAGAGTCCAGCAGAAATGACTGCGTTTTAACCAAAGACACAGTTTCTGGCCCCCAAGCAGCATGTAAACTCGGCGCACCATCTTCTTCACTACAGCTAACCAAGTTGCAACCACATCTCTCCAGGAAGCCTGCCTCCCAATTTCGGGCACTTGGGAGAACTTTGTCACCTTGGGACACCCCGGTCCCTCCTGGGTGCTCTGTCTGGGCAGCCAAGGGGCTAAGAGGCCACAGAGGAAGTCAGGAAGGTCCTGCCTACGGCCTCCACCTTCCCGGGGACGGGCTGGCATAAACTGGGCAACACCTCGAACCAGGGCGGGGTCAGTCCGGGGGTGTGGGGTGGCCACGGGGGTGGCGGGGTGGGTGGGGGACGTCGCGATCAGCCACAGGCTCTGGGCGCCCGCTCCCCAGCCCCGCCCTGCGATCGCGGCTCCAGTCTCTCACGGGAAGGAAGGCACACACGTGCGGGCCCGGGAGCGGGTTTGCGGCGCACGTGGCTGGGCCCTAGGGCACTAGGGTG